AAATCTAAACAACTACAACGATCAGCTGCAAACAGACATGTTAGAAGCCAAGCAGAGAATCAGAGTAATGAAAGAAACTCACCAAACAGATTGCCAGGCAGGATCGCAGAGGATGTCGCGCGCGGATGGACGCTGGTCGCGTCTTGCTGCGACCAGCTCCAACACCTTGGGCGCAATTGATGGGTGTTGGTACGCCCAGTCTGCTGGTAAAACGCCATCCCGGACGTCAATCAATACCGACTCCCTTTCCTACACAGATTCACCAAACTAAGCAAGCACGTTGCACAAACTGCAGCCAAACCTGGTCCGGGGGACACCTCCAATGAAGTTCGAAGAGTATAACTCCAAGCGCAAGCATGTCAGTGTAGGTTGAGTTGCTCCGGCGCTGGGGAGAGTAGTAAACTGCTCTCCCCTTCTTGATATTTCATTCTCGAGCATGGACTCCTTATTTTTAGCTGTAAGCCAACAAATGAGAGATGGAAGAGATGTTTCATTTGCCTACCAAGACCGAAATCTCCCAGCTTGATGCGTCCATCGTCTGTGACGAAGATGTTGTGTGGTGCTATATCCCGATGAACACCCACGTTGCCGTGCACATGCGCCACAGCTTGAAGAAGCTGCCTAAACGCATCTGCAGGTGGTGACTCACCGCCGAGGAGCACCGACTGGAGCGAGCGGCCACAAAACTCCATGACAATGTACACTTTCGACTTGCCCGGCTCGCCTTCCTCCTTCCACATGTCGAAGTATTTGACTATGTTGGGGTGTTCGCAGCGCTGGAGCATCTCTCCCTCCTTGAAGACGAGCGCGACATCCTGGTCTCTGGACTTCGTTGCTGTGCGAACCTTGATGACTTTGATGGCGTAGATTTGTTCGTCCTCCTTGCTACGGCACTTGTATACTTTCCCGGACGCCCCCTGGCCAACACAAGCGAGCACTTCGTAGCTGCTGCAGAAGCGGCCTGGACAAGAGAGACAAGGGGCCACTCAGAAGCGAAAAGATGCCAAAGAGAGAAATTATTGTATCCACCTGCTGCTGCAACTGGAGTCTCCCCTCCCTTTTGGATCGATTCCACGATCCCGGTCACAACATTCGCCGAGAGCATCTTGAATCTCTCCAAGCGTTGCGCCATTGCGAGGAATTGCCGAACATATTCTGCAAGTCATGAATCAAACCAGCAAAGAGTCGTGTCAGCCAACAAAAGGAATTCTTCGTACCAGCGTCAGGAGCAGCCTGCAACGCGGATGCATCATGATCAGTTTCTCCTGCTCCTGCTTCAACGAGGATCTTCGTCAGACAAGTGCAGATGTTTCAAGTTTTGACCAACCTGATCGAGCTCGGTTAATCGGATCCAGTGGGCGGGTCCTTTCGAGCATGACGTCGGATCGCTTCTGAGTGTGTAGTTTCTTCGGACCAGCAGCTCTCTTCCTCTCCATGGTGGACTCTGGTCAGTGTTAACATTGTGAGTCGTTGCTGAAAGCACAAAAGAGATTGAGGAGTCGTTACTGCACTTATCCAACGGCTGGAGCCTAGAATGCGCACATCAGCTGTCCGTCAATGGATTCACAACAAACTTGCTACAATTGCATGCTCACCTCCTTCCGCCTCGCCAACAGTAGGCCGCAAACCAGCAGCGCACTCACCTCTGCCCTTGCCAGACGATCACGGCAGCCCTAGATTTGGAATCTAAGCTGCATTGAGGATCGACGCGCTCCTCCGGCTCCCTTGGGCTTTGCCAATAGTAGGGTACAAGAATACAAAAAGGCCACGTCGGATAGAGTTTAGGGCAGACGTGGCACCTTTGGTCACCTTTTGTGGCCCTTCTACATTTCCACGGAATACGAGTCATTTTTTAGGGTATCATGAAGAAGACACTCATTCTCGATCTAGACAATACACTGGTATACGCTCATAAGGATCTCGTCTCTTCTGTGAGTTTCAGCATGGAATTCGACGATGATGCACCACTCCACATCATGAAGAGACCAGGGGTAGATGAATTTCTGGGGAAGGTTTCAAAAGTGTACGATATCGTGGTGTTTAGTGCCGCCCAGGAGAAGTATGTCAACCTTGTGGTTGACCATCTGGATCCTACTGGGGGGCTTGTGTCGAGGAGGCTACATGGTGGCAATTGCGTTGTTCTAAAGGACGGGACGAAAGTCAAGAATCTTGACCATGTAGGGTTTCGGGATTTCAAGCGGGTGGTGGCACTGGATGACATTATTGACTTCTACCAAGGTCATCAAGAGAGCGTGGTGGTGGCTCCAAAGTTTGAGGGGTCAAAGGATGACCACTTCTTGGCAGATGTAACCCCGTTCCTTCTTGCGCTGTCAAAGTGTGTGGATTTTACCAAAGTTACCCATCGCTGGAATATTGGACAATGTGTGGAGAAGCAAGGCAAATTGTACGTCCTAGATCCATTCGATGATGAATGGGTTGTTTTTAACTGATTATTGTATTTTGTAATAAATGTTATAATTTTTCTGCCAAAGTGTAGTTTATGCAAATGAATCTTAGTGAACTTTTGAGCTCAGGATTTCCTACATGTCTCATGTAAAACAAAATGGTAGAACAAGAAAAACAGCACACCAAAATTTCAAGCTCTTTTGCCAAGGAAATCCCCTTTGCATTGAGAGCCCACAGCTTTGCAACACCCCATGAACACCAATAGGAGCACGTGCCCACCTCAAACAACAAGCGAGACTTCAAAAAGGACATCACTGATCCAACATTTGATGCCGGAGGATAAGATGCTTAGAAGACTGATTGCTTCTGAGTTCCTTTATGTCTGTTGTTTAGTGCCTATGTGAAGCTATTGACAAAAAATGTGATGATCCATATGAAGCTCTTCACAGGATCATGGAGAGAGAGAGTGTGTCTTTGCCATGACATCCAGCGAAGTAGCAAGAGGAGTGATCGCGGTGCCTCCTGCAGGCATCTCCACGCCAAATCGCGACTCTTCTGCGCCAATGTGGTGATTCCAACTCCCTCCCGCGAGGGAAGCTCTTGCACCGCCGCCTGGCCGCCACCCTCGACCTACGCCACCACCCCTTGTTCAGCAATCTCCTCATCCTCATGTATGGCAAGTGCTCCAGCCTCCCGGACGCATGGTCCGTCTTCCACGATCTCGTCCACAAGAACGCCTTCTCCTGTAACATCATGATCTCGACGCTCTGCGCAAACGGCCAGAGCGCGCAAGCGATTCATCTCTTCCTCGCCCTCGCCAGCGATTCAGTCGTCCGCCCCACCCACGTCTCGTTCGTCGCCGCGAAAAGAGTGCTTGGATTGTTCTCGGAGTCACTGGGACTGGAAAGTGGTGCTCTGGAGGAAGCTTTTGGAGGAGAGAGGCATGCGATGAGGATGAACTACTATCCACCTTGTCCGGAGCCGGAGCTTACAATCGGACTGGACGCTCACGCGGATCCAAACGGTTTCACTATACTCCAGCAGGACACCAGGGTGAAAGATGGCCTCCAGATTGTACACTGTGGAGCGTGGGTGCCGATCAAACCTCTGCCTGGCGCCTTTGTTGTCAACATTGGAGATCAACTTCAGGTAAGCTTTCTTTCGATCGTCATAGTCGTGCATGCATGAGATTTCCAGGTTTTGATTGTGTGTTATTCAGATTCTTTCCAATGATGCGTACAAGAGTGTGGAGCACCGAGCAGTTGTCAACTCGGAGCGAACTCGAGTCTCCATTGCTTCATTCTATGGGCCAGCAGAAGATAGTCACATTGCTCTGCTGGCGCAGCTGGTCGCTGACGAAGCGCCTGCTTGCTTCAAAGATAGCGTCTATGGAAATTACCTTCAATCGTTCTACGCTTCAAAACTAGATGGCAAAGCAGCCATTGAGACTGTGAGGTATTAAACTTTGTCTGCGTCTCGTTTAGGTTATGGTCATCCCACTCATTTCCATCCCTCCCTTAGCCATACATCTGTGGGTTGTTGATGCAATAGCTAATGCAGAGGGTCTCAATCTTTCATACAGCCGCCTTGCTCTATTGATTTGATCCAACATAGAAAACTGGTGACATGCCAGAAAGAAAAGAAGTATAGAAGAATTTACATGTAACGAAACAAATCAAGGAATTCTTTTCTGCTTTCTTTCCTTCTGGCAAGTCAATAATTTTCAGCTAGATCGAACCAACAAAGCAAGGTGGGAGAAGTTCTTAGAAAGATTGAAATTGTTGGCGGAGGTGGAACTTAATGAAACGTACCACATGTTCTAATTGTCTTGCTCTCATTCGCTGAGCAGACTAGTATGAAGAAAGGATGACAAAAACCTCCTGTTGTTTACGAAGTTCTTGGTATTGTCATGTATGGCTCGCAAAAGCACAGAAAGCTTCAAGACTTGACCTTCCTGCTTGATTTCTTTAAAGCACCGCATGGCACAGACTACAAACAAAGATTTAAGACTGGTTTAAATTATGAGATCAAGATTTACCTTCAAAGTGCTTGCAAGAGCTACAATGCAGCCAACCACGGCCAACAGTAACTGCTTCTCGTCCGAAATAGAAGTTTCAGAAATAAACCATGCTAGGATGTTCAGGCTATGTACTTGTACAGGCGTAGTGCTATCTGGTATTAGTGTTAGTGACGACAAGTAAAACACTGAGCTTTCCAAAAGAAAAGAAACAGCATCGGAAGTATGCCCAAGGAGAATTAACAGTAAACTTCCCAGAAAGTTTTGCGAAAATAAGATAAATACTATCACGAACCTGCAATAGAGAAGATTAGTATTTCATCTCGATGGAATTTTATTATGTTGGAGTCCAAGAACGAGATGATCCTACACAATACAAGAAGTTTCCCCAGACGTAGATACTGGTCAGCACCGAACTGAGAAACATAATCAACCTAAATTATGCACAGATGAAAAAAAATTCAAGAGTATCAGTGTTAGTTGCAATTGCTGACACTCCTCACAAAGAAATGGAACGTATTTCTTTAATAACTGCTCTGGGTTTCCTAGCTGGTTAATTTCTTGCGAGAATAATAAAACTCAAACTTACCATCGGGACCTTCCACAAAGCATATTGGAAGTCACGAAGGCTCAACATTTTGGAGTTGTCAGATATCATAGTTTCTTCTAGCATTAAATCAGTTAGAATGTGATCCTGCACTGCAATTTATAGTTCACGTCGGTATACCACACATCTTGAACAAAATAGCTCGGGAGATGCAACAGCGTGGTGTCCACGGCTGGCTTCTTGTAGGATCCATGCATCTCATCTCAAGTGGGCAGAGATCAAGTGGAAGCTGGAGAGCTATCCCAATTCTCGGGAGATGTGATGAAGAAAATGGCGGGATTGTTGATTTTTGTAGAGAGAATATCTGCACCTTTGTGAAACGTTTTTCTACAGGCCTTTCGAATCCACGGAACCTGGAAGTCAAAACAAGAGAGAGTAGCTTCAGAACATTTAAAAGCTCACCCCTGCAAGTTCTATTGTGGTACAGAGTGAATGAGTTTCTTTTTGCCTATGGGAACCTCAAAGCCAATGCCAAGTACCTTTTTTGACGACTCTGCAAAATCATAGAAAGAAAGAAACAAATGAAGAGAGAGAGAGAGAGAGAGAGAGAGAGGAATTGATCCATCAATTTTATCTGTCTAGGTTTCTAGTTTCTTCCATACCTTGAGGAACCAATTGTTAAATTCCATTGAGTACTACTCCTCTTTTTAAATAATTTGTTGTGCTATTTAAAATATATTACTCCTCTTTTTAAATTTCTTTTGTGCTATCTAAAATATATCACAATGTGTGAGGGCCAAGTGTACAGTTACGATGCCATATACTAATATTAGCGTAGTGGGATTTTAGTAGCCGTTGAATTGGTTTTAATTTGGACCACTCGCTCCTGTATATAACCTAGGGTTTTTGGGCTAATTGATATGCACATTTTTGTAATCCCTTTCCATATTCCAAGCACTCACATTGGTGGAGGTGAAGGGCACCTTTGATTATCCCTAAAGAGTGCTTAGATTTGGGATTTTGGTTTAGATCTAGCTTTTGCATTGTCTAGATCTAGCTTTTTCCATTTCCTGTTTTTTGTTCTTTCTTTTCAGGGTTTTGGTTTAGATCTAGCTTTTTGCATTGTCTAGATCTACCATTTCCTTTTAGCTTTTTGTCATTTCTCTTCTTTTGCTCTTTCTTTTTCGTTCATCTTCATGGTAGATTAGCAATCTCCTCCTTTGACTCTAGAGCAGTAGTTGGTACAATTGCTTTATGCTATGCGCTTGCAGTTGAACAACCAAACTCAGTTGATGACGGCATTCACGGCACGTGGTACAACTCCTCCTGCTCTTGGTGCCAATCCTCGCGTTCAGCCGGAGTTCTTTTGCGGGAATCCTAGGGATGATGTGTACCATTGGTTCGATCACTTCACAGTGATTGCCACATATCATTCTTGAGATGATGCTTGACGGTTGCGTGAGTTT